CAAACACACACCCTGATGCTGTCTAGGACCAGAGTAGACAGGAAAATGGAGGTAGCCGAGAATCCAACACAAGTTGCTAACGTCAGTGTGACATCTGGGGCCTTCCATGAGTTAAAGTCTGATGGGCAACTGGTACGAGACTCACTGTCCCAGATTCTGCTTTACAACATACTGGGGACATCATGGTCCTTTTGAGTCAGAGGTTGTCCTCCACTACATAGGGAGTTCAAGGGCAGCCTGGGATACATGAGACCCTGCTTCAAAAACTGACAAATTCCAACTGTCCTGAGCCAGTGAGGAGACTAGGAGCTGTCCAGACTTGGGATGGTGGACATAGCGTGTGGGTGATGGCATCAGGGCACAGCCGCCTCCGGGAACTGCCGATTGGCCTGTGCCAACTTGCCTCTTTGCAGGTGAGGTGCTAGCTTTTCCTGCCTCTCCTCCCTCCCAAGCAGTAGGAAGCTTCTAGACCCAGAATGAAGTGGGCCTCCAACACCCGTCAGGTGGAGGGGCCTCCGGGCCAGCGAGTTCCCTCTGTGGCAGCCCGTGCCTGGCCTCCTCCACCTGACTTCAGCTGGAGCCCCTGGGCAGCTAGCAAATCTTCGCCTCTGTTTCCCATTTCACCCGACTCAGGCTAACGGCAAACGCTTGCTCAATGAGAAAAGCAGAAAAGCATTTGGATTTATTGCTTGGAGAGTTTGTTCCATCTCCTGGGCCTGCTTCATGCTGTTTTCTCTAAGTTTCGAAGCATTGTGTTTAAAAAGGAGAACTTCCGATGGCAGTGTTTCCCCCACATGTAAGTGGGGCTGTACAGTTTACAAAGACGTTGGCATAGTAACAGTAACAACCGTCTCTGTTGGGAACGGCATTCCTGCAGGGGCTACTCACTAATCCCAATGTTTCCACTAACGGAGAAGCTTTTCTCAGAGAGGCTAAGGGGCTTGCCCAAGGCCACACAGCCCAGGACAGGGCACAGATGAACCCATTATTGGTCCACGGGGCTCCAGAGACTGGGTTGGCCCTCCGTTGAGGTGACTTCTTCTCTGAGCTTACCCTGACCTATCTCAGCCATCTGCAGATAAAGTGAGCAAGAGAAGCCAAAATGGAACGAAACCCAGGGGTGTGCTCGGCAAACAGCCATGAGAGAAAACAGTACAAAAATAACCACTGTGTTCCGGGGGACACTTGAGAGCCCAAACAGAACATTTTGAGCTCAGATCATTTTTGCAGTGGATGAGCCTGAGGGTCTGGCAGGGTCTGAGGAGGACACTTGCTATCGAAGTTCTAATTCCGTGCTGGCTAAACGGCAGCTTGTAACCACATGCGGCAGTTTAAATGTAATGAAAACAATTAAAACTGTCCTTCTGTCACACCTGCCGCCACTTCGGCGCTTCATCTCCGAGGCCGGTGGCCAATACCTGGGCCACAGAACCTCAGGAAATCCCCGTGGCCAGCTCTGCTCAGTCACCAGCGACCTGCTCCTGTCTCATCCTGCTGTCTGTTCAGAGGTGACGTCATGGGCCACATCTGCTTTGATGTAGGTCCTGCGTACAGCTCGGGCACAAAAGGATGTCACCCCAATAACTGTCCCTGGACTCCATCCTAGAGCCACTGAAGCTTCAGAGGTGCAAAGGGAAGCCAGTCAATGAAGGGGGGGCGGTGGTGGCACCAGAGCAGGGCCTGGTTGCTCAGAGCCCTGGTCCCTTCCTGTCTGCTAGGAGATCAGGACCTGCAATAGCCTGCTTGCTTGTGTGTGTGTGTGTGTGTGTGTGTGTGTGTGTGTGTGTGTGTGTGTGCGCACATGGAGGCCAGAGGTCATCATAGGGCATCTCCCTCCGTGGTGCTCAAACTTGCCTTTTGAGGAGGGCTTTTTGCATGGGTTCTGGAGATCTGGATTTAGGCACTCACGTTTGGGAGGCAGGCACCTTATCCACCAGCTATCTCCCCTTCTTGCTCTTTAATAAGGACCCCAGGTGCTTCATGTGCACATTTAGTTTGAGAAGCTCTGATTTAGGAGCCAGGCTGAAGAGGTGTAAACATTACTTCAGACCTAGGAAGCCAAGTGTGTTTCTAGCCAAGCAATCACAGGGCTCGGCCACCAGCAGCCAGCGAGTAAGCATCAGTCACACAGGCCCACTCAGCTCTGTGCGTGTGACCCACAGACAGGGACAGGGACAGCTGCAGCCCATGTCACACTGACGGCCATCTCCCAAAGCAAAAGCAAGAGGAAGAAGCCCATTTCTTTGTGGGTACTGGGGATGGGACCCACGGCCTGGCACAAGCTAGAATAGTGATCTGCATCCCAGTGATGAACCCAAGAACACCATCTTGGCCTCATGATGTTCCCTGGGGATCTCCAGTTTTGCTTTGTGTGTGTGTGTGTGTGTGTGTGTGTGTGTGTGTGTGTGTGTGTGTGTGTGTGTGTGTGCACCCACATGGGAATATGTGTGTGAGTGCCAGAGGTTGAATGTTTTTCTCTAATACTCTCCACCATCAAAAAAAAAAAAAATAAGTAAAAGACTTATTAAGGATAATGGAACTTCCCCAAGTTCCTGCCCTGAGAAAATTCCTCCCAGAGTCCTGGGAAAGACACTACATACGGCGTGGGGTGTCTGAGGGAAAGGAATCTACGTACACTACGCTCTTTTGTTCATTAACTTTATTCCTCTATGACAAAATTCTATCAACACAGCTTCAGCTCCGACCTCCCATTCAGCTCCTCTCTGTGGCCAGCTTTCCTGTCCTCATAGTTTTAGTAAGCTCCTATGCTTTTGACCCGATCTTCGTCCTCTGTTCCTTCGTCCTCCATCTCTCCTTCCTGGCTCCTTACCCCTGGCCCTAATAAACTCTACAAGAGATCAGCTTTATACTCTACAGAATCTCTGTCTTCCTCTCTTCTCTCTGGCCACGCGGTTCTGTGTCTGCCTCGGGAATTCTGCTCCAGTCCCTACTGCACCTGGTTATGCAAAAAGCCCTGTTGTCCTCAGTCAGTTGCTCTGGAATGCCACTAGGCTTGAAGGCAAGGGATGGTCTGAGCTTCATTTGCCCAAGAAACAAGGCTGTGCATCTGCGGCTGCTAGTCTCCTAGGCTTTGTAGGGGGTGTTAGCTTTCTAGTGGATCAGCGGCTGAGAAGCTTAGCTGTTCGCCAAGTGGTCTGTGAGTATTTGGGCACGCAAGAATTTCATAGCAGAAGACAGCTGAAATATTAAGGCTGTTTAACACCAAACATTCCGTAATAAATGGCTTCCCATTGGACAGACCCTTGTCCGGTCAAAGTATAGCTTTAATACACAGCTGAATCTCTATAATATATTCTTGTGGCCCGCAAGAATTTATTTTGTTTTTATGCATGCCTGTGTGTGGGTGTGTGCATGCGTGAGTGCAGGTGCCCAAGGAGTCCAGAAGAGGCCACTGGATTATGTGGAGCCAGAGTTACAGGCGGTTGTGGAGTGCCAACGCAGGTTCTGATAACCAAACCTGGGTCCTCTGAAAGAGCAGTATGCTCGTAACCCGAGTCACCTCTCCAGCATCCACTGTACTGGATTTTTGAGGCAGGGTCTCTCCCTGACCTTCACTAGACTGGTTGGCCAGTGAGCTCCAGGGAACCACCAGTTCCCCCCCACACCTCTGGGATTACAGATAGGTGCCACCCAGTGCGGCCCTCATGTGGGTCCTGGGGATCTGAACTCAGGCCCACTTGCTCATGCAGCAAGTGCTTTACCAACTCAGCCCTCAGTCTCCCCAGCCACCAGTTTTGCCTTCCCGACCCCCCAGCATGTCTGACTATCTGAACATGTACATGGTTTGATGGAGGTACCTGGCCAGACTATGTCCTCTGCTTCCCATGATGCTCCAGGGCTCAGGACCTGGGCAGGTGGCGAGGACTCCCAAGAGAGGCTGGCACGGAGCTGTTGGTGGGCTGTAGGAGGTGCAGACTGCTGTAGGGAAGGGTAGCCTGGGGCCTGCCACAGGCCCTCTCCTGCCTCTTGGGGCTGAGTCATCCCCAGAGCCTGTCTCTTTAGAGCTGCCTCAGGCCTTCCTTATTTTTTTTTTTTATCCCTGGTGTGATGTTCTATGCTGAAAGGATGGTATTTTCACCACCCGCCAGAGCCCTCCTGGAGGACAGATGTTAAAATAGCCAGTTTTACAAGTTGCTCCCAGAAGAAAGGCAAAGGACAAGGATGTGACATGGGCCCGGTGGGGGAGCTTGGGGACTTTGGAGGAAGAGACATTCTAGTTGACACAGCCCAGGGATGAACTGGGCAGGGTGGGAGGAGGAGAGGCCAGGGGGCTCTTCACAGCTCTTTACCATTCTGGAAAAAGGCAGGCAAATGGAACCACCCTGCTGTCTTTGCCACTCAGTTCAAGGCCTCTGTGAACCTCATTTACGTCTTCCATGGATACCTGATGCTCAGATGTTGGTGGATGTGCCAGTCAAGATGCTTTTACACCCTTGGGTATGGCCCAGCTGGCACCCAGGCCAAGCTCAGTGGGACAAAGCAAGAGCAGGACCTGGGTGCTTTGGGCTCATTCATCCTGTTGAGGACCTGGAAGGCCATCTCTGGTCTTGAAGAACCCCTGGCCACCAAATCCTCTTTCTTGTCTTTTTTTAATAATATAATTGTGTGTAGGTGTGAGTGTGTGAGTGTGCCATACGTGTGTGGGTACCTGTGGAAGCCAGAAGAAGGTGACAGATCTGCTGGGGCTGGAGTTCCAGGTGCCTGCCCGACATGGGTGCTAGGGATCAAACTGGGTCCTCTGGAAGAGCAGTAAGTATCCTTAACCACTGAGCCATCTCTCCAGACCTCCTGTCCTTCTTGAGGTCTAGCAGTTCCCTCGTTCCTAAGGTTCCAGGAGCCACTCACTGGCAATTCAATACATGCTTTTGTTGTTGTTTAACTAAGAGTCCCCAGAGACACAAACCCAATGCCCAGCATCGGGGCGTTCAATGCGCACAGCAGCAGGAGACGGCACACAGTGGGAAACTTCACAACCAGGATGAGCACTGACAGACGTGTGTATTTGTTGACACGGAAAGAGGTTCACAACATAGAGTTAAGTGCAAAAGCAGGTTATAAGAAAACAGTATGCATTAGGCTGACACCATGTTTGTAAAATATATATTCTATATATTCATAGAAAAAGGTCTAGAAGAAAATATAACAGTTACTCATTCTGGAGAGTGGGATAGTGACCGTGTTTTCTTTCTGATTATCTTGGTTTTTCAATTGTCCGACAGTGTTTGTGCAGTGAGTTTGTGCGGTGACTTTCCCTTTTGAAGTGTGTGCTGTGGGTAGCAGGAAGCCCGGTTCTACAACACCTGATTAAAATGTGACTGATGCTCTGAGGGTCACAGCTATGGGGACTGCGCATGCAAAGCTCTGCTCAGGAACAGCTGGGGTGTCCGAGCCTCCAAAACAAGCAGGCAGTATACCCTGGACCACAGGGTACCAGGAGCATCTCACTGGTTGATGGATAAGGGCCTAGAGAGGTGAGGTGACTTGCCTGGGCTCACACAGTCAGGGTGGGGACCAATAGGCCCAGAGCTCCAATGCCTTGATGACCAGTTGATAAGCACAGCCCAACAAAGGGGCTGGAAAGACTCAACACCACCCGGGACCTCAGCTGTGGCCAGGCTGCAAGCGGGACCAGGTTGGAAAGGAAACTCTGGCACCTCAGTGTAGCGAGGTGGACTCCTTGCCATGCAGATGGCCTCTGGGTTCATGGGGCAGCAGAAGTAGGCACAGGGCGGGTGGGAAGAGGGTCTGGGTTGGCAGGCCTCACCCCACTATATCCTTTCCTATCGATGTATCCTTATCTTTGGGTCTTGACTTAAAAGTCACCTTATTGTCCCGAACCCCTGAGCCAGGTCCTGGCTCCTGTTGACTCAGCCTCATGCCTCCTTGTTGGTGTTTCCAGTGATGTGACGTCATTCCACCGACCTAGGGGCATCGTATGATCTGAGTCCCCGTCCCACTGTCTACCTTCTCCTTGGTCCGAGGAGTGTAGCACCTGGTCACGGCAGGTGCTCATCAAGCATTGCTGAATGACAGCAGAGGAACAAAGGCCTGGGGTGGCCAGGAGATCCCAGAGGACTCATTTCTGCCTTTTCCTGGCTGTGTGACCTCAGGCAAACAGCTTCACCTCTCTGGGTTTCTTCCAGTCCTCCATCTGAGCACACATACCCAACTCTATCCAAAGGGCCAGCCTCACGCTTCCTGGGTCTACTTGGGCCAGTTGAAGGGAGTGTTATAGAGGCGGGAATGGTTGACTAAATCCTACCTCAGCTCCGCTGTCAGCCTGGGATTGTTTCGGATGACATTGTGGTAACACTTTTCCCAGGAGCCACTGGTGGGCAATGAGTCCAATCTTATTTCTTATTCAATAAACTCCTTTATTCTACTTCACATATTTTTCCATTACAGTAATGAAAATAGCATTAGTGATTTGTAACATTTGGGACCAAATCAAAGGGGAGTGCCTCCTCAAATCAGAAAGTAGGAAAAACAGGGTAGAACAGAGTCAGTGTTGGGTACGAGGCATTAAAAACAGATGGGTCAAGAGTGTGTGTGTGAAAACACTTAAGGTCTCCTTGAGTTAGGTGACACCGTTTGAGAAGGTGCATGATTTTGAAAATTATATTTATAATCGTCATAAAACTCAAGTGGAGAAAAATGCAAAATCAAGCAAAACCAACTCCCTAAACAAAAAAGGAAGTGAATCAAATACATAGGGTGGATATGCAAACCTCCAGTCCTTTGGCCCTGTGACAGCGGGTGTGGGGGCACAGAAATTCCCCATAGAAAGGAACGTGTGGGCACCGGGGACCACAGCCCGGGCCCGATGCTGGTGTGTCACCAGCTCCTGTCTCCTCACAGAGGAAAAGAAGTCGCCTGTCCGACACATCCGTCCAGGGTCTGCCCACGATGGGCCTTCCGTCCCCAGTGCCTCTGAGAACGATCCCGGATCCCAAGAAAGTAGAGGCATCCCTGAGACACGGGCATGGAGACAGAGGGTCAGTGGCGGTGCCCAGCCATGCTGGAGCTGTCCGAGTGATTGACGGGCAGCGGGTGGGCCTCGGTGTTGAACACCCAGTCCTCTGGCGACAGCACGTTATCTTCAGAGAACAGAAGATAGAGGTATCTGTGTGGCAGGGCAGGGGGCAGGAGAGGGGTTAGTGCCTGGGGGGAAGGAGGGCCACAGGAGGGGACACCCACACCTGCCAGGGCTGGTCCTGGGGAAGCACAGGGATTCTGAGCTCTGGGGTCAGAAGACCTGATTAATCCTGGCCCGCATCCATTGTTTCATTCGCCTGACTGCCCTGCTGTGAGCCCTGAAGACTTGGACCTAGACTCACTCTTGGTCAGGAGGCCTAGGGTCTGCACCTGCCCAAACTCACCGGGTTCCCAAGCTACAGTTCAATTCCTGCCGCAGTGACACAGCCAGGCTCTGGGGACCCCAGCCTCCGGTGTGGGGACTTTACTGGAAGGGACCATTAGTGCGAGGAGAGTAGGGCAGATACCCGAAGCAGACAGGAGCCTGCCAAGCACTCCAAGCCGGGCTGCACAGGTCACAGGGGGACAGCCCCTACCAGGGCTCACTATCAATGTCACATGGAGGTGACTATTTCGAAGAGCTGAGTGGCGAAGGACCAGGTGAAGGGGCTTGTAAAACAACCTCTGTGGTCAGTGCTGGGGCTCTTGGGAAGAATTAGGCCCAGCCGGAGCTCAGTCTGCTGTGTGGACCCTAAGCCTCCACCCCACCTGGGCTCCCTCTCTCTGACTCCCGAGCCACTGGCCTGACCCAGGGACATCTGCACTCACTTGAGCGTCTCAGCCAGGAAGAAGCTTTGCTGCCTGTTGTCGTGGTTGGGATTGCTGCTGTACACATCCTGGATCCCCGAGAAGCCGGCTTCTGTCCGGCAGTGTTTCTCCAGGGCCTGGAGGAAGGGAGCAGCCTTAGTGTGGGGAGGAGATGCCTGGTGGCCGGGGCTTTAACACACAGCTCCCGATCCTTGGCTGGCCACCTGGGAGTCCAGGCCAGCTTCTTCTCCCAGGATCAGCCAGCCCATATCGCCCTCACCCCGTCTGAGCAATTCCCTGGTCTGAGTCTAGTCCAGGCTTCTCCACCTTCCAGGGACCTGAGTGACCGGGCGACCAACACTTTCACCGCAGAGGTGATGAGGTCAAGCATGGTTGCTGGCAATCTGCAGGGGCCACTGGGATCCAGAGAGCAGACCCAGAAGCCTGGAGGTGAGGTCTCTGCGTCAGGGTGTGTGTGTGCTTCCTGTTCTATACAGAAATGCAGTTTTGTACACTGTAGGGTCGGTGGCCTAGGCATCCTGCTGGGGATGACAGGCCACCTGCTGTGGCTACGGTCACAAAGGGCAAGATGGATCTTTCCTCTTTCCCTGCCGCTTAGAAATCTGACTGCAAGAGCATATCACGGTCTACTTATAAACTACGTGGTGTGGGGCCTTCCTCTTTCTCAAAATCCTCTAACAGGGCAACCCCCTATGTCTGTGGGGCTAAACTCTCTTCAGAACCCTGGCACCCCTACAGCTAACACATCTTACTGGAATTGTAGCTTGCCTCGGTGCCCTCTTGATCCCAACCTTAGATATGGTGCTGTGACTCAGAGAGAGGGAGGTACTGCTGAGATGCCTTTGGGGGGGGGGGGCCCTTTGTGCCTGCCGCTGCTCTGCGCTACGTCCAACACTGGCCCCCTTTCTGCTCTGGTGATGCACATGAGCACAAAACATTTGGCCTTTGAAGGTCAAGAGCCAGGGCTTCAAGGAAGCAGAAGCCTAGATGGGTCCTAAACATAAGCAGTCCCCACCCTGAGTGTGAGCAAGGATAGCTTGTCCCCAAGCAGGTGACTCCTTGCTGGCATGGGCACAGGGGCTTGTGGGAAGAGAGACAGAGAATTTTCTGGAAGCACCACACTTGTCTTTGCTGTCTACCCCTATGTGGTGGTTTGAACAGGAATGGCCCCCTCAGGCTCACATATTTGAATGCTTAGTCCCAGTGAGTGGAACTCTTTGAGAAAGATTAGGAGGTGTGGCCTGGTTGGAGCAAGTGTGTCACTGGGGGTGGGCTTTGAGGTTTCAAGAGCCTATTCCAGGCCCAGTCTCTTTTGCTCTCTCATTCATTCTCATATTCTCTCTCTCTCTCTCTCTCTCTCTCTCTCTCTCTCTCTCTCTCTCTCTCTCTCTGTGGTTCAGGATGTAGCTCTCATCCACTTCTCTAGCATCGTTCCTGCCACCGTGCTTCCCGCCATGATGACCATGGACTAGACCTCTGAAACTGTAACAAGCCTCAAGTCAATGCTTTCTCTTTTAAGAGTTGCCTTGGTCTTGGTGCTTCTTCACAGCAGTAGAACAGTGACTAAGACACTCTAGGAGGGCCAGGTTTCTAACTAGTGCTTGGGATGGAGGAAAGACCATGGGGTCTGGGGGATGGCTAGAGACTGATCAGGGTGAGCTGCTGGATGGCAGTGAAACAGGGTGACCTGTTTCAAAAGAGGCATCTCAAGCAACTCATTCAGGCTCTGGGGCCAGAGCACAGAAACTAGATGGTACTGGGGTGTCCTTTGTCCCCAAGGACATACACACTTAGACCCTCCCTAGTAATTTCAGCCTTGCCTCAGGGAAGCTTTCCCAGAGCTGCGCTCTTGGTTCTGCAGCCTCCTGAACAACTATCTTATTCCTTGGCCAGAGGCCAGCCTGGCTGCCATCCTATAGTTCCCGAGCCAGAGGCTTTAAGCCCCTGACGGTGGCTTCCCAGGGACACCCACTACCCCCCACTCACCATCACCACCTCCCAGCCCCACTCCCTGTAGATGGGGTCATGTGTCTGCCGCCACAGGTACATGTAGCTCTCTACCACCTCAGGTCGCAGGATGTAGTAGCTCTCGCTCAGCTGTGTGGCCACTGCCTCTCGGCCAGCGTTGAACCAGAAGGCCTCAGGCCCCAGCTTGGTGTCTGTGGGAACAGATGAGCAAGAACCGTCAGAACCCCCACTTCCCGCTTCTGTGGACCCTGTCTAGGATGGACCTGGATGCCTGGCGGGCCGAGGCTGAGTGCTGGTTTGGGGTAGGCCTACCAGTTGCCTCTTGGGGCTGCACCAAGCTGTGCACAGCCTCCACAGCAAGCTCACTGAAGCTTGAAGAATTTAGCAGTTTAGCTGGGTGTGGTAGTGCATGCCTAGAATCCCAGCACTCGTGGGCAGAAGCAAGTGGGTCTCTCTGATTTTGACGCCAGCCTGGTCTACATACTGAGTTATAGGCAAACTAGGGCTACATTTTAGACCCTGACTCAACCCCTTCCCATGAAAAAAAAGGTAGGGTTGTAGGACATACCAGGCCCTTTACTGTCCTAATGTACCACCAGTCCCTCCATCAATCCCCCCCTTTCACACACCTACATCACCCAAGAAAACACCGAGCGGGAGCTACTGGAGGATCAGGGCTGGTTATTGTCAACTAAATCTAGACATATCTGGGAAGAGGGAATCTTAGTTGAGAAACTGTGTCTTTAAGGTTGGCCTGGAGGCAAGTCTGTAGGGTATTGTATTAATTGAAGGTTAATGTGGGAGGGCCCAGCCCAAGAGGAGCAGTGTCTTCCCGGACAGGTGGTCCTGGGGTATATAAGCAAGCTGAGCAGGCCTTGGGCAGAAGCTGGTAAGCAGCACCCCTCCATGGTCTCTGCTTCAGTTCCTGCCTCTAGGTTCCTGCCCTGACTTCCCTCAGTGATGGGGCGTGACCTGAGAGCTGTAAGATTAAATAAATTCCTCCTTGGGTTGCTTTTGTTCACGGAGTTTTATCACAGCAGTAGCAGCCCTAACCAAGGCAGGAGCCCGGGAAAGTACCTGCCAAGGCAGAGGGCGCTTGCCTTGATGGGTCCAGGTTTGGTGTGAGGGCAGTCTGCTGCCATTTTGTTTTCTGCAGGACCCAAACTGTAAAAGCACAGCAGAGCCTCCATTTGTGATCTCAAGGCCTCCGCTGGGTCCTTTACATGGTCACAATCCTTCATTTGTCTTTCTTTTTTGCTAAGGGCAAGTCTGCTCTCACACATATGGCGACAGGATCAGAGAGGCTGAGCCTTTGATTCAAGGCCACACAGTGAGTCACGGCTGAGCTAGGCTGTGTCTGTTCACCCCCTCCTGCTTGGCCTTGGCACCCAGGAGGCCCCAGGGGTGGGGGGGGGGGGTCTCCTCTTGAGCCTGTTGGCACTTTGGAGGCTTATCTTCTCAGAAGAGGAGTCAACTGGGCTCAGCCTCTTCACCCCCCGGCCCCCATCCAGTCTTTTCAGATGGCACCAAGGCTCTGCCACCGGGAAATAGTGCTTTCGCCAAGTTCCTAATGGGATGAGGGAGGTAGTGGCTGTACAGCGGCGGGTGAGCCGGGCTGGTTGGGACAATATGCTCGATTAAGCGGCTGCCTTTTACAGCTCTGGGTGATTGTCCAGACAAACAGCTCTTTATTATTCCTGAGATTTCCCATTTGTTTATGGCCCTGGCCCGCTGTGAAAAGAATGGAAGGCCCGATTTCAGGCCCAGCACGAATATGACTTCCTAGGACCCACTCGGAACCAGCTCCAGCCCCCAGACACGTCAAAGCCTCTTCTTGCGGGGCTGCTTGGATGCTGGCTCGTGGAATCTGGCGTGGCTCGGGCAGCTGCAGACTGTTCTCCCCAATGCACAGAGGAGAAAACAGAGGCTCAGAGCACAGTGTGGAGCCTCTCATCCACCCAAGGCTAGGACTGTGGCTCAGAGAGGCAGCTTCTGAGACTGGGCAGTACACTTTGAGAGGGGCACAATGGTGTGTGTGTGTGTGTGTGTGTGTGTGTGTGTGTGTGTGTGTGTGTGTGTGTGTAACTGGATATCAGGGCCTGGTTCTCAGCCAGGCTCAGCCACTCACATTTGGAGGGACTTTCCCTAAGCCTGTACCCCTTCTCTGGGCTGACTGTTTCACCAAGTGTAAAGTGAGGCTTGCGGCTCATACCCCTAGACTATTTGACAGCTTGGCTAAGTGCCAGGTGTATGTAAACGGAGCTCTTAAGCTGGCTGGTGGCCTTGAATCAAAGAGTGGCCAGAGATGGGGTGAGAGCCGCATGCAGAGGATGGGCAGAGGTACCCTTGCAGGCAGGGGATTTGCCGAGCTCAGGTGTCAATCTGCCGTGGGTGAGGGAGGACCCTCCTATCCCTGCCTCCCGTGGCACCTTAACCAAGTAAGTCATCACTGAGCCTCAGTTTCCCCATCTGTGCCAGGAGTCGGGGGGGTGTCAGTAGTGCCACCTCTCAGTGCTGGACACACCACAATCAGTACCAGGTCTGCGTGCCTCTCAGTCTAGTAACTTCCCAGGGGAGATGGTAATAAGAGCTCCCCACCCCTCACTGCTCTGCTGCTCTGGCCGGTGCTTCCTGATGTCTAGCCTGGGTATCGGCTGTTGCTTTCTTCCCCTGCAGGGTTACCTGAGCGGGCGTAGGACTCATGGCATGTTCTGGTGATCTGGGCTGCAAGCTCTCGGTAGTAGGCCCTCTTGTCTTCCTTGGCATCCTCAGCACCAAGGGCGATCATGCCCCCCGAAAAGCAGGCCAGGTGTCCCATCTTGTGATCCAGAATTCCCCCTCGCCACTCAGCAATGTAGGTCAGACCCCCAGGAGAGACATTCAGCAAATAGGTCTCTATGGCCTGAGAGTAAGGAGGAAAACGCGGGGGGGGGGGGGGGGGGGGGACACTCAGTGAGCCACAAGGAAACAGTGGCAGGTTGCTTGGCAGGGTCCTGCCTCCCAGAGCCAGTGGGGGGTCCTGCTGGGAGCTAGGATGTCACACGGGCCTTTTAAATCTACATGTTGTGGCTGGAGAGATGGTTCAGTGGTTAAGAGCCCTGGCTGCTCTTCCAGAATCCCCAAATCCATTCCCAGAATTCACATGACAGCTCACAACATCTGTAACTCCAGTTCCAGGGGATCTGACGCCCTCTTCTGGCCTCTGCACGCACTGCATGCACACGGTACACAGACACACCCATAAAATAAAAATAACAAGTACATTTTTAAAGGTTAAAAAAAAGGTCAGCTGGGCGGTGGTGGCGCACGCCTTTAATCCCAGCACTCGGGAGGCAGAGCCAGGTGGATCTCTGTGAGTTCAAGGCCAGCCTGGGCTACCAAGTGAGTTCCAGGAAAGGCGCAAAGCTACACAGAGAAACCCTGTCTCAAAAACCAAAAAAAAAAAAAAAAAAAAAAAAAAAAAAAAAAAAAAAAAAATCAATGTTTTAAAGAACACTTAAAAAAAGTCTTCACAATGGGGACCAGTGAGATGGCTCCACAGGTAAAAATGCCTGTTATGCAAACCTGATTCCCAGATTCAACAGTCATCACAGTGAATAAATAAAGATTAGCGAAGCTTCCCCCCACCGCACCCTCTGCTAGAAGGGCTTAGCCCGGAGATGCTGGCCTGTGTATGGGCTCCAGCATCCAGAAGGTACTGGAGTTCCCAGCCTTCCTGTGGCTAAGCGTCTTTGTGGGAGGGAGGCCCCCGTGTCTCATCAGAAAATGAATCCCTGCCCCGTCCAGGGCTTCAGCGGCACTTTCTCCCTCTGTGCCGGGCGTGGGAGGATCGGCTCACCCTCATCACCCACGGGAGCTCCTTCTGCTGGCGCTGCAGGCTCCTTTTAGAAGAAAGGGGCTCCTGAGAAATGACTCATGATGTTGGGGTGCCTTCTGCCAATAGTTCCAGGAACTCTGAAGCTGGGTGCCATCCACACAGTCTAGAGCTGGCCTTCATAGGCCCATGAGTCCTGGTTTTAGCTGAATATCCATGGAAACATTCCTGGGCCTTTGTCCCCATTCTCCATGCTCATCTAGCTACTTTTTCAAAAAATTTATGTATTTTTTTTAAAGTATGATTGCTCTATCTGCATGTACGCCTGCATTCCAGAAGAGGGCACCAGATCTCATTACGGATGGTTGTGACCACCATGTGGTTGCTGGGAATTGAACTCAGAACCTCTAGAAGAGCACCCAGTGCTCTTAACTGCTGAGCCGTCTCTCCAGCCTCCCCCTGCCCCAGTCTACTCTTAAATGGATTGGATCACATCATAGGCCTTTGTGCAACCCCAATGGATTCTTGGCACCATTGGAAGAAGGTTCCACTAGACCTCAAAGGCACCCTGATCTGGACCCCAAGGAGTGACTGGTTTTCTAGACTGATTCCCGGGCACACGTTCTGTAAGTTCAAATCTCTTTTCTATCAGTTCTGCTGTGTGGCACTGGGCAGGTTAAACGCTTTCTCGGTGCCGTGTCAGAGTCCCCAACAAATGCTGCCCGTGAGTCTCTGCGGCCCATCCCAGCCTCAGTGGCCTTTCCTCCTCCATGCCCGAGGGCTGGGGACACAGTACACTGTGGATGGGCCGACCTCTGGGTGCAGAGGTCTCTATCAAATGCACATAGGGGTGACTGTCTCTGACCAGCGGTCAGGAAGAGGTAAACTGAGGCTTCGAGATGAAGCTATGGCTGCTCTGCTTGCAGAATAAGGTCAGAGAGGTCTCTTGCCTCTGACTGTATATGCTCTGCCCTGGTTCTGAGCCCTGGAAGCAGCATGCTGTGGCCCTTGGAGGGGTCAGCCCTCTTACGCCCACCTCCTGCCTCTCCACTTGGAACATGATTACAGTCAGTGCCTCATCCCTCCATCCGAGCGTTGTTGACACAGCCGTCAGCCACCAACCAGGACCTGGCGCCTGAAGCCGGTGCTGGCTTCTGGATCTGTTTTTCCTTTTCCTCTCCTGCCAGGGCCAGGGCTGGGGGTCTGGCTGTGGGACCCTTGCTGAGCGGCAGATGGGAAAGGGACTGAGGAGGTACCTTGCTAGGGTACCAGCTCCACGTGGGGAGCGTGCTGAGGCCTGGAGTGCCACCAGCTGCTAGGCGGGGCTGCTCCAGGCTCAGCACTGGCTCCTGGGTAGAGTGTGGTCCCAGCAGCTGGTCTGTTAAGGGTCACTGCAGGGGGCAGGCATCTGGGTGAATCCAGGGTCCCAGAACCTACCTACGTGTTGGATGTGATGAAACAGACATATGGGGAGATGCCAGGATGCCATGCCCCAGGGCTGGGAAACAACACCTTCTAGACTCCCTCCCACAGGCTGGGTGAGTCCCGGGGTGAGTAACGGCCTCCCCGAGGAAACTACAGATCGGTGTCTGACAGAGACAAGCAGAGGTGGAGAGAGAAGCCCAGGCTTCATTCTGTGTGTGTTCATATGTGCATGTTCATGTCTGCACTGGCGCATGTCTGGGTACGTTTGTAATGTGTACGCATATATGTGGAGGCCAGGGGTCAGCCATAGGTGTTTCTCAAGAGCTGTCCACCTTGGATTTTTGAGGACAAGGTTTCTCACTGGGATCTTGGGCTCGTTGATTAGACCAGCTGGCCAGTGAGACCCCTCGGGACTCTCACCTCTGCCTCCCCACCATGCTGGCCTCTTTATGGAGGTTCTGGGGAAGAACTCTGGTCCTCACTCCCGTGCGGCAAGCACCTTATAGCCTGAACCATCATCTCCTTAGCCCAAACTAAAGCCTAAAGCCACAAGACATGGTACGGGGGTGGTGGTGGTGGTGGTGGTGGTGGTGGTGGTGGTGGTGGTGCCTGAGCTAGGCTCAAGTCGTGGTACAGAGGGGCTGAATTTGGTTGGGGAAGGGGGGTCTGGGTGCCTCTGAGCCACTTCCCACTTTTCTGAAGACTCATTTTGCTCATCTGTAGAATGGGAATGGAAGCTCACACACAGGATGGTGGTGAGGCCTGAAGGAGAGGGCACTGTGACCCAGCTTGGTGCCTGTCCCAGCCAATTCCTGCCAATGCCTCTTGGGAAGCCCACCTGAGTTCTCCTGCAGGGGCCCAAGTGACTTGCAGGCAGCCAATGCAGCCATGAACAGCAGGGTTAGCATTGGTAGGCCCCGGCTCCTGCCTTGGCTCTTGCCGTGGTGTGACTAGGCCTTTTTGAGTCTCGGTTTCGTTATCTTTGAGATGGAGCTAATAAAGGGACTGAGCAGGAGGTCACAGTGACGAGGCCCTCCTTGGCTTCCTTAAGTGCTCTCCTTTTGTGAGTCTCAAGGGTGCATCTCTGGGGTGTCCTGAATCCTCCCACCCATCCCAACTGGACCCAGGTTGAGCCTGCAGGGTCCCAGTCCTTGCTCCCACAGGGATCCCTGGGAAGCTCTACAGAATCATCCCTGGGCTATCCCAGAGATTCTGGTGCCATTAATGGGGTACAGTCTGGGAAGGGGTCTGAGTCTCCTAAGTGATTCCAACGTGCCAGCAAGGATGAGGACCACTAGAATATTCTTCAAAGCCCCAGACCTGCCAGAGGCCTGCCCTTCACTCAGGGTCTAGGGCCCCGGGCTCCTTACAGAAGATCAAATGTGGAGCTGAGGTCTCTCTGCTCAGCCATGCTTTCTGAGGCTCCCAGACTGCTTAATAATTCATGGCCATCTCTCCCCTTGAAGCTGCAGCCACAGTGTGCCCTAAGGGCCGGGAGACAGTTACACTCGTTAACTTCATGTTTACTCTGTGGAGAGCTGTAGGAAGAGAAGAAAGGAATCCTCCTACAGGCAACGCTGGCCAAAGCCAAGGGCAGACAGGGCCAAGATGGAGTGAGCTGAGCTGCACTGCTTCATGACAGAGCTTGGCACCAGGGAGCCGGGCAGGGTCCATAGCTGAAGAGGCCCATGGCTCCAACAGTCTGTCTTACTATGCTTCTATAAGCACTACCATTTCCAGGCAGACTTAGGCCATCAAACGGTGCTTAGAGACCATCCATCTACCCATCCATGCATCTATCCAACTGTTCACATCAATCTAACTCCTCCCCCAATATATCCATCTATCTGCTCACATTAATTCACCCATCTCCCATTCATCTCTTCATCAATTCTCCATCCATTCATATCTAAATCCACCCATCTACCCATCAACTCGTCTATGCATGCATCTGTCTATTCAACTGTTTACATCAATCTGTCTGCCCATCCACCCATCTACTCAGCTATCCATTGGTCCATCTATCTATCCATCCATCCACCCACCAACTCTTCTACCCATCTATTCATCTGTCCATTGGTCCATCCATCTATCTACCCATCCACCCACTAACTCATTCATGCATCTGCTCAACTGTTTGAAGTGTTCATATCAATCTACTCATGCATCCACCCACCCATCTATCTACCAGGCCAACCACCTACTTGTCTACCTATCTACCCATTTCCTCTACCCATCGGACTGCCCACACCAATCCACTCATCCACTCGTATGTCCAACCATCCATCTGTCTGTCTATCCGTCCATCCGTCCGTCCATCCATCCATCCATCCATCCATCCATCCATCCATTCATCCACCCAATTGTTCATATCTGTCCACACAGCCATATACCCACTTATATATCTCCATCCATCCATCTGTCCATCTATCCAACTATTTATATCAATCTGCCAACTCACCCATCCACCCCTCAATCCCTCAACACAATTGTTCACATCTATCTACCCATAAACCCATTCATCCAGTCACTCACTCATTCTTCTTATCCATCACTCAGAACCTACTTGTTCATATAACAGCTACTGTATGCCTACCAATGCCGGTCTGCTTCAGGAGTGAGGCTTATGGGGTAAACAAGGAGACAGGATTGTCTGTTAGAGAACTCACATTGTATTTGGGGAAGATCAGCAAGGATTAGGTGAGCAAATGTTTGTAAGCAATCATTTCAGATTCTGTTACAAGTGAAGAAGAGAATAAGCCTGGGCGTGTGATACAGAGGCTGGGAAGGTCATTTCGGCAGCATGAGAGAAGAGTCTAAAGGACCTGGCTTTTGAATGGTATTCTGGGTAGAGGGTTAGCATGTACAAAGGCCCTGAGGTGAGAACTTCCTCACCTGAGGAAGCAGAGGGGCAAGAGTGAGGTGACGCAGTCCTGGTGATTGACAGGGTCCCAATCAGGTAGGACCCGGTGGGTGAAGGAGGGGGGCCACGATTAACTCCAGGAGGAAGGGGAGGTGGCGAGGAGAGGAGCCAGCATCTCCAGCCCCATGGCTACTGTGTGCAGAACTGATTTAGAGGCAGGGCAGAGGGGAACAGGAGCTCACACTACAGGACACGAGGTGGTGTTCCAGAGCAAGGCAATGGGACAAGGAATCCAACTAACTTCATGGGGAAACTGAGGCCCAGAGCCTTCTCCATGCTTTTTCTTTTTCTTATAAAATCTTTTAAGATCTATTATTATTATTACTATTTTGGTTTTTGAGATAGGGTTTCTCTGTGTAATAGCTCTGGTTGTCCTGGAACTCCCTTCGTAGATCAGGCTGGCCTCAAACTCACAGAGATCCGCCTGCCTCTGCTCCTGAGTGCTGGGATTAAAGGCGTGCACCACTACCGTGTACTTTGTGTGTATGAATGTTTTGCCTGCATGTATGTCTGGCATCATGTGCATGCCTGGTGCCCAGAAAACTCAGAGGAGGGCATTAGATCCCCTGGAACAGACAGTTGTGAGCCACCATGTGGGTGCTGGGAATTGAACCCAGATCCTCTGTAAGAGCAGCTAGTGCTCTTAACCACTGAGCCGAAACTCCAGCCCCTGCTTTTCCACCTACTTCCACCTACTGGGTTCAAAGGCACCCATCGCTCTAGTTAGCCAAGTCCCTTGTCTGTTCTAAATATCCCCCTTAGGAGGGACTCACTCCAGCCCGACACCCCTCTTCACTCCACACCCCACGAAGAGACTAGCAGCAGCACTAACTCCGCTGGCTCAGTGCTGTGTGGCCTTGGGCAAGCGTCCTCCTCTCTCTGGATCTTGGCTTGCACCCACTTGGGGAGAACAAGCAGAGAAGTGGTGCATGCCCCACACGTCCTGGACGCCACTCTCTCCCTGCCCAAGTGTCACTGCTGGTTTACAGAATGACAGCTGAAGATCTCGCTTTGGAGCCCCAAGGGATCCTGGCTGCCATGTGGGCTTTGACACATTAGCTGAGGCCCAGAGACTGTTGGGGGAGGGCTTAAACTAAGCTTCCTAAATCGGTCTGTCACTTCCTCTATGAGACCTTGGACAAATGGCCTGACCTGCCTGAGCCCGGGTTTCTGGGCGTGGGGGAGGAACACGCAGATGTCCCCAGGATCTGGGGAGGTATGTGCGGCTGGGGAGGCCTTGCCTGTCACTCCCTGCCCATTCAGTGGCCTCTCCCAGCACGCAGGGCTCTGAGGACTGGTGGCTGCCCACTCGGCAGGCGGCAGGAAACGTCTCTTACCTGCAAGGCTTCGTAGTACATATTTTTAGCCTCCATATCTGTTTTGTCGGACATCAACCAGGACTTGATCAAATACTCATAAAAACTGTCCCCAAGTCCTCCGACCGAGACATGGTCTGCAAGGTAAAGACGACAAGAAGGATTAGCAGAGTCATCGTTGGCTAGGTTCAAATGCTGACCTCCACGGCCTGAGCTGGGCTTGGGGTGCAGCCAACGTCTGCTCAGCTGCCACCCAGTCCAACTTGGGTGGGCTGAAGGGACCCGAGCGGGAACCAGGACCTCCTGAGGCAGGCGTCCTGTATCCGTCCGCGCACAGGGTCCTTGGGGGCATAATCCATCTGGCCTTAGCAGGATGATGACGAGGACCCTGGTTATTAATTGTAAAGGGCTGATTTTCTTTAAAAATCACTTGAGATTTAAGAATGGATGAAGAACAACTATTTTGTAGTAAAGTTATTGGACTAGAAATCGAAAGAGGGCAGCGATGCTCAGGGCTCCTTCCCAAGGCTCTGCCGGCTCATCCTTGGAGTTCCTCTCAGTCTGTGTTTTTCTTTTTTTAATTACAAATTTATAATTTAATAAAATACTAGGAAGTATATAATAATGTATATACATACATGCGCATGTCTACGTGTACATGTGTATGTGTGTGTGTGTGTATCTCTACATTCGGTGGCAGACCGGTCACAGGTATGACTGCCATCTGAAGAACCCAGCAGTGAATGCTGGCCCTTCATAAGATGCTGGGAAAGTGGAGTGAGATGAGTCACAGGTCAGACCCCAGCCACAGAGCACCCTAGGAAAACTTAATTGATTTGTGCAGATCTAGGTGATGGGAGCCGGAAGGGAGGGTTGAGATCCCTCTCTGTCTGGAGATGGTGGGCCAATGCTGCAGCGGTGTGGTGTGTTTGTGTGGTATGTACATTGTGTGTGTGTGTGTGTGTGTGTGTGTGTGTGTGTGTGTGTGTGTGTGTGTGCGCGCGTGTGCATGTGCGTGGTATGTATGTTGTTTGTATGTATGTATGTATATATATGGTGTATGTGTCATTTTGTGCACATTTGTGTGTATGCATGTGGTGTGATGTTTGTGTAGGTCTATGTGATATGTTTGTGTGTATGTGTGTGGTGTGTGTTTTGGCTGTATTTATGTATGGGTATATGTGGTATATGTGTGTTTGTGTAGGTCTGTGTGGTGTATATGTTTGTGTATATGTGTGAGTCTATGGTGTAAATCAGTATGTATGGTGTGTTTGTGTATGTCTGTGTGGCATATGTCTGTATATATGTATATGTATCTGGTGTAGGTATATATATATGTAATTGGTGTATTTGTGTATGTGTGTGTGACTATGTGGTGTGTGTGTGTGTGTGTGTGTGTGTGTGGTGTGTGCTTGTATATATGCATGTGTAGTATATATTTGTGTGTGGTGTGTTTGTGTATATGTGTGGGTCTATGTGGCATATGTCCATATGTATGTGTGGTTTATGTCTTTGTGTCTGGTGTGTGTATGTGTGTGGTGTGTTTGTGCTTATGTGTGGGTCATCTATGTGGCATATGTCTGTGTGTGTATGTGTGTGTGTGTGTGTTTGGTATGTTTGTGTATATTTGTGGGTTCATGTGGCATATGTCTGTGTGTCTGTGTGTGGTATGTTTGTGCAAATGCGTGGGTCCATGTGGCATATGTCTGTGTGTCTGTGTCCGTGTGTGTTGTGTGTGTTTGCAGCCTGGTGGATTATCCTGGGCATAGTCTATACTGTAGGTAGGGCTGGGTCCCCTGAGAGGCTGAAGCCAGGTGTGAGGAGAGGGAGAAACAGACAGGAGCAGAGGCTGGGTGACCTAAGCTGTGGCCCCTAACCCTTTTCCTCTTCACCTGCCCTCTGTTGCAAATGTGTGAGTAGTTGTCCTGAGCATGCTGCCTCAGGGCCACTCTGAGAATCCGGGGGAGGGAACAGTGGGAATGGGCTCAGCTTAGGCAAGGTGGGGGTGGGGTAGCTGCTAAAAAGATATAATCACACCAACAGAGCCCAACAAAGTCCAGAGAACCTGAGATGACCTGGGGCAGAAGCCAGGAGGAGGCAGCCCTGACAGGCCAGCAGGCCCAGCCTTCCCTCTGCTCTCCAGCAGGCCACCGACTCATCCGTTATTAGCATGGAATAGTCTCACACACGTGACCGACTGCCCACACATCCTGGAAAGAAAATGATTCCCTGGACGGTGGGAGCCTCCTGGGGGCGTGCTGGCCATCCCAGGCTGCCAGGTCCCACTCCAGGCTGTACACACTGTTCTTAAGCCCTTGCCCTCCGTGGTCATAACCTGTGATTCCAGCCTGTCTCCTCACTGGACGTGTGCTTTGGTTGAGAATTTCACATTCCGTGATTGTTAAGAGACTGCATGTGGTGAGGGCATCATGACAAAATTCTTAGGTGGAATTCCTGGGCCGCCTCTGTGCCTGCTGATGGGAGAGGCTCATGGCAGAGGCTTGGCTGGGGAGGAAAGGCCTTGGCAGATGCTGTCCGGAGTCTCTGTTGGCCATCAGGCCCTGCTTGAATTTAATTTCTTTTGGGATGACCTAGATCACCTTTGGAGGATTTCTGCAGCTTTGACTGTCACACCCAAGCGCCTTCCTGGTTGTTCATAATGAATTCACCCCACTCTCTTCTTCCCCGGAAACCAAGACTCAGAGGGACTGAGAGGGGATGAGGATGTAACTCAACTGGAAGACAGGCAGACACGGACAGACAGACAGACGTGCATGTACATGACGATGTAGCACAAGTAGAAGACAGACACACACATACACACATGAGGATGGATGTAGCACAACTGGAAGTCAGACACAGACAGATAGACAGACACATACATACACATACATGGAGATGGAGAGGGAGGGGGGAGGGGGAGGGGGAAGGGGAGGGGGAGGGAGAGGGAGAACACTAGAAGACAGACAGACAGACAGACAGACACACACATAGTTCCTGCTGAGTGACCATATGGCTGAGCCTTAGAGATGAGCCAGAGCAGAGCTGCAGCTTGCCTCTCTCAGAGCCTGGCCCCTCTAGTGTGAGCACAGCAGGAGACTGGTCAACTCTGCATCCCATTCTGTATCAGTGGGCGGGACTTGGGAATGATGCCCACGGGTGACTGACAGCTGTGTGGCTGAAAGTTGTTAGACGTGGTACTACACACTTGTCATCTCAGCACTTGGGATGCGGAGGCAAGAGGATCAAGAGTTCAAGGCCAGCCTTGGCTACCTAACAAGCTTGATGCCTGGGCTACCTGAAGACCTTGTCTCAAATAAAGTCTTTGAACAGCTAGGCCTGGTGGCACATGCCTTTAATTCTGGCACTTTGGAGGCAGAGTTAGGCAGATCTCTGAGTTTGAGACCAGCCTGATATATAAGTGAGTTCTGGGACAGCCAGGGTTAATTCTTTAAACAAAGAAAGCTGAAAAACCTGGTACTGATTCGGGTAAGTTTAAGATATGGTGATGAGAGAGAGGCTTTCAGATCACTACCTAGTTTGGCCCTGCCTAAAATTTTGTCTAAATCAAAGCTGGAAGTGGAAAGCCAGATCAAAGTGGCCAGGGGGATGTCACAGGGCCTTTCCTGTAGTCACTTCTGAGTGACAGCTCTAAGTGGGACATTCCTTCGAGTCTGGGGAACACAGAGGGGGGTGCAGAGGTTCTGCGAGAGATGGACATTTTGGTGGTTTTAATGGCTGCAGCTGGAGAAATGACTCAGCAGTTAAGAGCACTAGGTGCTTCTCTAGAGGGCCCAGGGTTCAATTCTCAGCATCCATATGGGAGCTCACAACTGTCTGTAACTCCAGTTCCAGGGGATCCATGGTACCAGGCATGGTGCGTGCACACATACACACACACATGCAGGCAAATATCCATACATATAAAATAAAATAAATAAATCTTAAAAAAAAAAAAAGAATCAGAATGACCCCCATAGACTCATGTGTTTGAATGCTTGGTCCCTGGGGAGTGGCATTACAGGGGGTGTGGTCTTGTTGGAGTAGGTGCCGTCTTGTTGGAGGAAGTGTGTCACTGTAAAGGCAGGCTTTGAGGTCTCATATACGCTCAAGCTATGCCCAGTGTGGTACAGTCGCTTTCTGCTGCCCGTGGATCCAGATCTGGAACTCTCACTTCCTTCTCCAGCACCATGTCTGCCTGCACGCTGCCATGCTTCTCGCCACGATGATAATGGACTAAACCTCTCAAACTGTAAGCCAGCCCCAATTAAATGTTTTCCTTTATAAGAGTTGCTGTGGTCATGGTGTCTCTTCACAGCAATAAAAACCCTAACTAAGGCAGATGCTCAGAATGCTGGGAGGAGTCGGATACGCAGTTACTGGCTTGTCCAGGCAGGTGAATTCAGGAGCTGGTGCCAGTCTCTGGCTCTCAGCCGGTGCCCACTCGGGCTCAGGAAGCCCGAATCGGAACTCATGGGATGAGGGCAAGGATGCTGGTACTCACGCTGCACCCAGTTCCCGCTCACTGGGCTCAGGAAGTTGGGGTAGAGGCCGAAGGGCTTGTCAATCTCCCTGAGGACCTTGCGGATGTTTTTGACCTGTGAGAAACACCAGGCACAGTCACTTTCCTGAAGAAGGCACTCAGTTCCCACCCACGAGGACGGAGCAAATGGTTCAGATGCACATGGGGCTTAAAGCTTTCTCGTGTGAAGGGGGGACAGTGAAAGAACCACAGACTCTGTGCCCACGCAGAGCATGGTGGGATGTGCCCAAGTGGGGCCTGACCCACCAGCCCTCTGCTGACGGCTCCGCCCGGGACAGTACCACCCCTGGGCAGACCACTCTGGGGGAGGAGGTTCAGAGAAGCGGCAGTAGCTATTGTTGTTGTTGTTTTTCCAGACAGGGTTTCTCTGTGTAGCCCTGTCTGTCCTGGAACTCTCTTTGTAGACCAGGCTGGCCTCGAACTCACAGAGATCCACCTTCCGCTGCCTCCTGAGTGCTGGGATTAAAGGTGTGAACCACCACCACCCAGCTGGCAGCAGCTATTTTATAATCACTAAATTTCCTTTAAAAAAGAGACAGGTAGCTCAGGCTGACCTTGAACTCCGAATCTTCCTGCTTCTACTCTGAGTGCTAGGGTTACAGGCAGGCAACACCACATTTTTGAGTGCTGTGGATCAAACCCAGGTCTTCCTGCATCTTAGGCAAACACCACTGTTAGAGCTCCATCTCCGATCCAGTGATGTGCATGTGGTGAGCGGGGGGGCATTAATCAAGTTTCTCTGAGCCTTGGACCCGTATTCCTTACCCTGCATGGAACAGCCATTGAGTCCAGTACAGACCCAGAGGGTGAGCACACAGTGACACTTAGTTGAGGTTGGGCGTGCAGCAACCCCTAACCCCGCCCAAGGCTGCGTGGTGAGAGACACAATTGAGAACTTCTAGCTATCTACTAGAATGGGACCCTCAGGGAGAGCAGGTCTCCAGGACCATACTGCTGCCTGCTCACCCATGAATTGGCATGGCAGGGGCAGTGTCTGGGAAGTTGAGCTGTCAGCCTTCCTGTTCTTTAGAGACAGAGAGAGGGAGATTCTTGGGCCTGACTTACACTCCCCTGTCCTGGTGGGGCCCAGGGAAGCAGGCTGTATTAGCTGCCCTGGAGGGTGCAAGGTGCTGGAAGAATTTGGGCCCATTTGTTGACTGCTAATAATCTCCTCTGTGGGAGGTGTGACTAGGGGCTGAAAATAGCTTCAGTATGCAAATGGAGAGGGATAGAGGGACAGGGAGTCTGGAGGTGCACCGGCAGCTGGCTAAACTGATCTGCCCAGGGAAGAAAAGGCTGGAAAGTTCCTGGCCCAGTTCCCTGCTGTCTCATTGCTGGCCGCCCTGGGCAGGTTACTTAGCCTCTCTGGGCCATTCCACTCTCTACCTCTCAGTTAGATAGGGTTGGCAGAACCTCCCACCCCCAGGCTGCTGAGGCTTAATATAAAATATGCCCGGGACATGGCAAGGGTCAGTGTGCACCCACGGGACCCTTTCCTGAGGAGTCTGGCCTGGGCAAAGGGTCAGAGAGCATGGCATTGGGTTGTGAGATTAGACTCATCTGAGAGGAACAGCTGACCACACCCTGGACCGGTAAGGATAGAGTGAGAAGTCAGAGACACCAATAAGAGGGTGGGAAGCTTGTCCTGACCTTCTCTACTCTGGTGGAGTCCCACTTCAAGGACACAGTGGTCCCAAACCTGGTATTAAAGAGCACTGGGTTTCACACGAGCATGCAGACTCCGGGGCCGGGGCCGGGGGCCAGCCTGTTTCCTTCCAGCTGTGCGGGTGGTGGATGTGCTCTGGGGAACAGCTGGCGACACAAGAGAGCGCCACCAGGGAGGGGTGCGAAGCCATCTCAGAAAGATAGCAGGACCCCCAAATGCTGTTCGGGGGGGGGGCGGGGAGCTCTGAACGGGGCCTGTGTACACTGCCTTCCTTTGGATTCAGGATTAGTTCTGAATCCAGACATTTCCTTGGCTGTAGCCCTTCCAGAGAACTTCCCAGGGCCAGGTACAGACAACTGTCAGGACTGGGCAGTGATCTGGATGCCACTTCTCAGCACCCACGTAGCCCTGGGCAGCCGGGAGCCGCGATAAGGAACCACTCTGCCAGCCTGAGCCAGACAGGCACCTGGGAGGGAAAGGCAGGCGGACCTCACACACAGAAAAGCTAAATGTCCCTGGAAAGGGTACATGTGCACACCACCGCCTGTTCCTGCCAGTATGAGGAGCCTGGCTCCCTCAGTCTCCAGATTTCACAGCTCACAGATCTGCCACCAGCCAATGTGCCAGCACAAACCTCCCTGGCAGAGTTCTGGTGGCTTCCGTTCCCCTCCCTGCAACCTGGCATTGGGCACAGTTGGTTCTTCCACCAGGAACTGCTGTGAGAATGGTGTTTGGGGGTCCTGGTGTGTCTGTCCTGACTGCAGACACTCGCCCTCTGCCCCTCTGCTGTGTGTGGGGACCTGCCTGGGGAGAGGGCGAGGGGAAGCTCACCTTTTCTGCAAAGACCGGCTTGCCAGAGAGCTCAGTGAGGTGCAAGAATTCCAAGTGCAGGGATCCAAACTCAGCCAGGATGCTGCTGCTGCCCGCGGTGGCCCAGCCCCAGCTACCGCTGAAAAGACATCAGCTGTGTCACCCTGCTGGCTCCTGGGCTGAGATGCGTGGTGTGCTAGACATCTCAGTTAGCCCTCCTGGGCCCCCACTATGTGGAGGGCACTGGGGCTGGTGAGAGGACGGAACTTACTGAAGGTGATTTGAACCCACGCCAGTCTTGGTTCCTACCAAGCAGCCTCTGGAGTGTTCGGGGCTCAAGGCATGACACACACAGATACGGTGAAATCTGCAGGTGACGCCGATGGTGTGGTCAGGTGCCATGAAGGCCCCACAGGACACTCAATGGCCATCTTTAGGCTTGAAGAGGGCAGTTCTAAGCAGAGACACCCCCCCATGCACACACATACACTTTTGCCTTTCCCTCTACTGAAGGTCATAAATAGCCCCAGCCTGGGGTTTCCTGGAACCTACAAGGTGTGACCACAGCCCTAGAACTGCTGGACTCAAGGGAGCTGGAGGTTAGACGGGGCCCTCCCAGCCAACGCTAGTGCCCCGTGAGACTGCACGTCTTATAGCACATCAGTCGCGTTCTCCGCCCTGTGCTCACAGGAGGCTCTGATGCCCACTTCAGGGCCCAGCACTCTAGGAATAAACCTCAGCGCCAGCACATGCGTTATCCCCCCACTTTCCCTGCTAGAGACAAAGACTCTGGCCCACAGTCAGGTCCCTCCCGCCCGAGTCACCAGTCTGTGCGGCAGCTGGGCCCACAGGAAGCTGAGCTGAGCCAGCCCCGGGGGAGGCCGCTGCCTGCACCACTTTGCCCTGTGAGGGGGTACTTTGCAGCCCTCCCACCGGCCGCACCCTGGAACCAGGTGTAGGGTCCAGCGCCACTTAGCTGGCACCCTCGGGCAAGTCCCTGTGTGCCTCAGTTTCCCTATCTGTATAACAGAATGAGGACAACTGCCCTTGCCTCCCAGCCTCTGGCTTTTGTGGGGACTTGGTCCTGAGTGAGGATGGCAGGTGGGCAAGAGGCTGCCTCTCCATATGGTCCAGAGTCCATACACATATCCCATGGGATATTTATGACTCCAGGGGAACAGACATTCTGTGGAGAGTTAGTTAGGATGGGGGGAGGGTGGGCCAGTGCAGTGACTGTCTCCCCTGGACAGGTTGTGGGGTAGCTGTGGTGCCTTTTGGAGGCCCCTCTGCTCTCGTGATGCCTAGGAACTGGCTGCTGTACATCCGTCTCCAGAGATGGAGAAAACTTGGGAAGGCAGTGTGGGGTAGGGAGGTGCCCAGGGGCCACACTTCTGCTGGTGCAGGCCCGGGGCCTCAATGTCCACTCTGAGCTCTGCTCTTGCTCAGCAAGGGTCTTCCTGGAAAGCAGGGGAGCTGAGGTGAGTCCCAGCTCCTGGAAGCAGATGGAGGACTGTGACTTCCACCAATGCAGAGACTGCCACACCCCTTGTCCCGTCTGCCCACCTCTGTCCCCTTGTGTATTTCTAGGCTCAGGCTGGGCAGGTTGCTGTCTGTGGAGCCACTCGGTCAGGCTGGCTGCTCCAGGGGGTGGTTTCACCTTGTACCGGAAGCTCACAGGCATGGTTAACCCCAGTACTCGAAGGAGGAAACAGGTCGTCAAGGGTTATGATGTACTCATAACCAGAGACCGCAGGAGGTGGGATTCCAACCCAGGCCTTCTGGTTTCACATCCCCCCCCACGCACCTCATGCTCCCCAGAGGCAATAAGGGGGGTCCGCCAGATTAAGTGAGCCTTCTTCCTGCAGCTGGGGAGCTTGGAGGGCCTCCTGTGATATCAGCCGATGCTTCATAAGTTAGAAATAAAAAGCCCCAGTCCCTGGTTAGCTTTCTTCTTTCTAGACAACCTCTCACTATTAGCCCTGGCTGTCCTGGAGCTCACTCTGTAGACCAGGCTGGCCTTGAACTCACTCTGTAGACCACCTGCCTCTGCCTTCCGAGTGCTGGGATTAAAGGCGTGTGCCACCACCCCCTCCCGTCTTCCAGTTACGTTTTGTCCTCACTGTCCACCACACGGGTCTCTCTGTTCTCTCTCCCGCCTCTCACAGTCACAGCCCCAGAGGCTTCGGGCAGTAGGGAGGATGACAGTGTGGGGCATTTTGTCACTCTGCCTGGCTTCTGGCTTTCTCTATGCCCCAGACCAGGTGCCCTAGGAGAGGTCCACCACTTCGCTAGATCTCAGCTTTCTCCTTCCTGAAACCCAGGCACTCAGCCTCACAGAGTTATTGTGAGGCCTCAATCATGCACGTGACTGTCATTTTTATCAGCATGTAATTATGCATATGTAGGTGACAATAAACCTCTAATGGGAGCCAGGTGGCTTTGGTGACTTATTTCACTTTCACCTCCGACTCTACTAGCAGATACTGTGATCTTCATTTCCTGGGTGGGAATATTTAGGTTCAGAAAGGGGGAGACACCTTTTCAAGGTCACACAGCACATGATAGAACTGAATCCAAATCCAAATCTTAGGTACTGGAAGTACCCAGAGCATGCCGCTGAGCAGCATCCTGGAAGGAGAGGGTCCTTCGAGCAGTTCTGTGAGCCAATGGACCAACAGTGAGATAGATCGGCCCTCCTCTCCCCTCCTCTCCCCTGGCGAGGCTCGCTGCTCCACAGTACCCCTTGCTACCTGGCTGAACCTCCTGTGTACGGTGCAATTGTTACAGCCAGAGCTGAGCTCCAAGCCTAACTTTACTTGGTTGCTGTGTGACCTCGGGAATGTTACTGCACTTCTCTGAGCTTCATTTTCTTTCCTGGCAAAATCAGGTCCCAGTGGTTAGAAAGGAAGGTTCTCTGTTGTGTGCTCACAGAGTGCCTGACACACTGTGTGCGCCAAAGCTGTTGGTAATTATGTAGGCGTGTACAACAGGCATGTTTAGAGGGAGCACACCCACATGAAGGTACATTTGTATGAATGTACGAGTCCACGTATGGATTTGAGAATAGCACGACAAGGACCAGTTTGAATATCTGAGCCCTTCCTAGTGGCATGGGCAGAAGCAGGAGTGTTTTGTGCAGGCATGTACATGTATGTGCATGCTTATGCACATGTGCACGCCAGTGACAGACTCATCCAGTCAGAGGTCCCTGGGTTGGCCACAATCACTGCCTCCTGCACAGAGGTGAGCACCCACCTCCATGCTGGCCAGTGGCACTCATCTAGCCCTCTTGCTGCCCGGAACTAGGCCTGCTGAACAGCAGGCTAGCTCCAGCCCTCTACTAGGTCATCTCTGAGGAGCGTTCGCAGTAGCGCGTGGCCGCTGCGTCCTTGCTACCCTCCCATTTTTAGCAATCACTTATTTCCCAGAATATGAAAGTGAGCGATGCCAGGAAATATGCACGTGCAGCATATCTCGATGGCGAGCAAGCAGCCTAAAAATATCCATGCCTGTGCCAGTAATCCTAGAGCCTGTGCAGGACCAGGCTCCACGGGGGACCACAGGTGAGTCGGGAGGCTGGGGGCCGCAGCAGAGCGAGGGGCCCTGGGGCTGTGCCAGACCCAGCGTGAGGGTGTGGGTCACTTCCGTCTTGCGGAGAAGCACTCTGAGCCCAGGCCTGTGTGTGGTTCTCTGAGGCATCAAGTCTGGTGTGGAGGATGACTTCTGTCAGCCCTCACGGCTGCCCTGGCCTCTGGGAAGTTTTGGTGAGGACACCGGGAAGGCTTCCCACCAGAGGCAGGTAAAAGAGGCACTGGCTGGAGTGGGGGGACATGGTGGTCAAAGCCACCAAGGCTACAGGACAGGAGGGAGGGTGGAGCCCAGCAGAGGCCCCTGGCCAGCACTCCCATGAGGTACCCCAGATGGGGGCTCAGGTAGGTCAGGGAGCATGGATTTCCCCAGCCTCTCTCCCGGCTCAGGTATGTCATGCATGGCCCAGAGAGCTGCAGGTGTTTGGGGACATGACCGTTTGCCTTCTGTATCTTCTAGGGGTTTCCTTCACGTACATCAGAGCCAAGGCTAGGGTCCTACAGAAGGATTCTTGTCCTCGGGAGGGCCAAGGCCCAGAGCCCCTCAGCTTCCTTGAGTACCAGTTCACAAGGAGAATGCTCTGCCTGAAGGCTGCTGAGTCCTACCTCAGGAGAGAGGGAGCTGGGCCAACTCTGGAGGCTCTGAGTCAACAGTGCCGGGCGTTATTTGCAGAGGAACAAATGTCTCTCCCACCCTGGAAGGTCAGGCCTGGGTGGCCCAAACCCTACACTTGGTAACCAATACCTGTCCAGGACAGTACTTAACAAAGGTCAGTTCTTACCACGCAAAAAATAGGAATAATACTTTTCTCATGCTTCAGCTCCTACCTCCAGAAAAATTCAAATCAGACGAAAGTGACTCCCTAGGACTCCATTCCGTCTGCCAACGGTCCCTAGGACTCCTCATCAGGCCACCACTCAGGGCCACAAATGGGGGTGGAGCACAGCCACCAGGTCACAAGGCACCTCACCTTTTGAAGTTGACGACGCCCTTGGGGATGCCTGTGGGTGTGTTGAAGGCGGGCAGCAGTTTCTCACCCAACTTGATGGCCTTTACTCGGAACACCTGCCAAGAAAGGTCAAAGGGCACTGAGTCCGAGTTGGGTGGAGTCAAGGCTGGGGGACAGGATTGGGAAGAGGCAAGGTTCTGCAGCCAGACAGCCTGGATGGAAGGCCAGGCTCCCAGATTGCTGACTTTGTGGCCTTAGACAAAGCCTCTGTCCATTTCTGTGTTCATAAAAAGCCAGTGTTGCTCCTCAGATGGTAGGGGGATGAAGGACTGTCACTGTGGTCAGGTGACCTTGGGAAGAGGAGGGGGAAAGCAGTCAGCGTCACCTCCAAGTCCAGAGGCAGACCCCACCGAGAAGGACCAGCTGTCAGCATCAGCACCACCCTTTAGGGAGCTGTGGGATGGTACATGCTAAATGTCCATAGCCTGGACCTGGAGCATCCCCAGAGGTCTATGTGTTGAAGGCTTGATCACCAGTCTTGGTATTACTGAGAGATGGTAGAACCTTTAAAAGCTGGAACTTAGGGGAAAGGAGGTAGGTCACTGGTGGGGGGACTTGATGGGGACATTGGGATCCCCTGCTCCCTCCCCTCTGCATCCCAGCTTCTCTTCCATCATGTGTTCCTTCCACAATGTCCTGGATCACTATGGAGTCAAAGCAGCAGCCAAGTAAGCATGGTCTGAGACCACTGAAACTGTGAGCTCAGTTGAGCCCACTGAAACGGTGAGCCCAGTTGAGACCATTCTGAGACGGGTAACCTCAGTAGAACACTTTCTTCTTCTAAGTTGATTATCTCAGGCATTTTATTCCACGAGGGGGAATTGACTAATACAGCGAGAGTGAGGGAAACAGTCGATCTGGACAGAGCATATACAGCATTGGACTAGGAGCACAGACCAAACTATTCTCCAGATTCCAGAACCTTCTACCTCTTGGATGACAGCTTCCCCCTTAAGATGCAGGGAAAGGGCCTTTCTTTGGTACTCTGAGGCCACTCAATTGTTTCCATTTTATAGACAGGGAATGAAGGGCAAGGGTGAATGGCTTGTTTTAAACCCTCCACATGATAGTTAAGGAGAGTTAAGGAGCCATAATGAAATCCCAGCTCAGGGTCCCTAAGCGAGGTTCCGAACCCTGCAAACTTCCTCTGAAATGCCAGATTAACTCAGAAGGATGTGTGACCTTCTGACTCAACAGTGTCACTCATAACCCACTCCTCCTAAAGGGCCAGCGAGACGACTCAGTGTGTAAAGGCACTTGCTGCCAAGCTCGATGACCTGAGTTCGACCCCTGAGACCCACATGGTGGAAGGAGAGAACCCACTCTCAGAAGCTGCCCTCTGACTTCCACATGCACACTATGACACACGTGCGTGCACACACACACCCATAAAACAAATGAACAAATGTAATATTAAAAAAACAAATAAACCCAGTTTATTCTTGGGACATAAATAATTGAGAGTGTTGTGAAAGATTTTCTATTGTGTTTATTCTAGCATCGCCTAAAATAGAGTGTGGTGCGTCAAGCCACACGGAAGTGGTTCAGTTCTGGCTTCCATGTGATGTAATGCCACGCAGCCACTGAAATGATGTAGTAGAAGAGCAGTTAGGAGCACAGTAAGTATATATACACCTGTGACGTCGAGAAATATCCCCAAATAGTGTAACTCAGTTTAATGTGTTTACATATGGATGCATGAAAAAAGGAAATACATCAAAACATTAGCAATGTCCTCTCAGAGGGGTTAACCCATGAACGGTATAATTTCCTTCTTTTAATTTACCTGTACTTTTCATGTAGTTATTTTTATTTTAAAATGAAGGTCTCACTGTGTTGCCCAGGCTGGTTTTGAATGCCGACACTCAAGTAATCCTTCTGCCTCAGCCTCCTGAGTAGTTGATACTACAGGTCTCTATGACCATGCTCAGCCTCCTGAGTAGTTGATACTACAAGTGTCTGTGACCATGCTCACAGCCTGTGTCATTTCACAGTAGGACAGGGCTGGTGGGTAAGGCCCTTACTCTGCAAGCATGAGGCCTGAGTTCAGATCCCCGGCACCCACATCAAAAGCTGGCTGTGGCTGCGGTTCCTGGAGCCCCAGCACTCGGTGGGGCAGAGGTAGGTGGTGGTCCCGGACCGGGCAGCCTAGGCTAAGGGCAAGCTTCCAGTTCAGTAAGAGACATCCAGCTCTGGTCTCTCAATTTGAGCATATAGGCACCCACCCAATGCATTTGAGTGCACAACAAACATCACACACACACACACACACACACACACACACACACACACACACACACACACACACAGGCCTATAACACAGTTGGACTCCATATTCAACAAACTGCAGACTGAAAACACACTTAAAAAAAAAATACTGGCCATGACGGGGTCCACCTGTAATCCTGACACTGAGGCAAGAGAAACACTTGAAGGCAGGAATTTGAGGCCAGTGTGGGCTCCACCCTGGAGGGAGGGGTAGAAAGCATGTCTGTGTTGACCATGCACAGGGATTCTTATTCCTGGAGGAGGGAGCAGAACACAGCCTCTGCTGTTGGGCAATCCAAGGACTTTGAGAGGATGAATGCGGGCCCTCTGCAAATAGCATGCTATTTCAGGTAAGGGCTCGAGCATTCCTGGAATTTGAGATCCATAGGGGTCCTGGGCCCAATCACCATGGATACCTAGAGAGGATCATAAATGTCCTTTAAGAGATGAGATGCAAGTCCCCAGTCTGTAGCTCTACTGACTCAATTTCCTGGCCTTCCTGACAAAGGCACCAGCAACAAAAATCTGCTGACTGAGGGGCTCATGGACTCAAGGCCCTGGCTCTCCTACATCACAGAATATAACACAAACAACCACCAAAGTCATGTGAGGCAGCTGCTGGGGCCCCCAACTGTGAGCAGTGAATGAGTTTGAGGCCTCTGAGGGTACATGGCCTTGAAAGAAAAAAGAAAGGGGGTAGCAGGGCTGGCTACATGGTCAGCCAAGAGGACACTGTCCAGTGCCTGTCTGTGAATCCTGGAAGTAGACCTCGGGGGCTGGTCTAGAACCCAAAGACACCTGTCACCTGGAGCTGCAGGGTCCGCCCTGGGGGTCTGCTGCAGAGCTCAGCCAGGCAGGAAGCCATTGGCTTAGTGACAGGAAGAGCTTGATCTCATACAGGCTTTGATCTCTTTACCCATCCAGAAGGTTGTTGGCGGTGAATGGAATGCACCCAGATGTGTGGCCCAGACAGCTGCATGATTGCCTGAGACCCTGGGAGGCTGATCTAGCTGAGAGGATCTTCTCTGCAGATAGGACAGAGTACATGTCCCTCCTGTGCACGGCCCTTAGGAGGCCTTGCTGCAGCTGTCACAGACGATCCCAATGGCCCTGGGGAGGGACTAGGCCAGCATGTATGTTCTAGAGTGTTGGGGACAGAAAGACGTGGGTCCGTCCACTCTGCCATCGTGGAAGGGAGTAGTGGGAGGGGCTGTGTTTGCAGACCTCTAGTCTCTGTAACAGCTCACAGGGAAGGTCCTCACTAAGGCTGAGCTTCAGAGTGATTCACTCAGGGCTACAGAGCTCTGTGGCTTTTTCTAGGACACCTGGTGTCTCCCCACATAGGGATGTGGGTTCAGTGGCCACAGTTCCAGATTGGAGAGCAACAGATTTGAGTTTTATTCTGTAGGGCCAAGGACTCAGCATACATCCTCCCATGTCATTATGTGACCTTCATTGAGCCATGCACTGTCTGTGAGCCTCAGTTTCCCCATCTGCACAGTAGAATGATAGAGTGTGCCCATGGCAGCTTCACAGAGTTTTTGTAGAAATTGAAAAAGAGGAAGTTTATATGTGAACATGCTTCCAAACTGTGAAGTGCTGTCCCAACATCCCCAGGAACAGCTCTGATTATGCTTGTCACCTTTAAAAAATATATATTATTTTACGTGTACAGGTGTTTAGTCGGCATATGTTTGGGCACCATATATGTGTAGTGCTCAAGAAGGCCAGAAGAGGGCATCAAATCCCCTGGGACTGGAGTTCCAGAGGTTTGTGAGCCACCATGTGGGTGCTAGGCCTTGAATTCAGGTCCTCTGCAAGAGTAGCCAGTGCTCTTAACTAAGCCATCTCTCTAGTCCCATGCTGGTCATCTTAATGGGAGTCGAGTCTCAGCAGGAGTGACCAGCTAGCAGGGTCCTCTTCTGCCACATCCTCTGAAGTAGACAAAGTAGCAGCCAGCAAACACGGCACACACATTTGTGGGAAGTTAAGAAATGGGAAGTCCCCAGCAGGCACCCACTGGGTGTGTGTGAGCTTCGTGTGACTGAGCCCTGGCAGCAAGCAGTGACAGGGGAGACAGAGCGGAGAAGGCCAAAGGGCTGGAGTGAGGCCTAGTCCAGCTGTCAGTGCCTCACGGACTTGCAAGTCTGTTTTATCATCTGCAAGTAGGTGATGCCTTCCCTGCGGGGATGGGGTATTTCCAACTCTCACGGAGCTCTGCATAGAACTCACAACCTGATATTTAACACGCCCGGGGAGAGCAGGGGCCATGGAGGTGTGCTGTCCGTCTGGGCAGGGCTGTGCAGACAGACTCAGGGCCACCTAGTTGGGCTACCCTCGTGAACTGTGTCTCAAGTCACCGGTGGCCAGGTCCACAGCCCCCTGCCAGGTGCACATCCTGAGAAGACAGGGTGAGGCGGGGAGCTAAGGGCTCAGAACTACAGACTCCTCAGAGAAGGGTCACAGGAGGGCTGGGTGGCTGTCCCTGGCATCACTCGCTCCTTCCTGAGTGGCTAGTCTTCAAGCGCCTCCCCTCCCGCTTCCCTCCATCCATCCCTCCAGCCGCACCAGCCGGGGAAGGTTGGACAGATGCCTCTGAAGCACATGAATGACTTTGCCTTTTTTTTTTTTCCTTTTTTCCCATTCCCTCTGTCATTTTCCTGTCCTGGGGTTTTCAAATAAAATTCAAGCTCTGGGTGGCTCAGAGCCGACGGCTCCCATCGACAATTTTTTTTGGGGGGGGGGGGGAAATGGTACACACAGTAATCTCTGCTGAGGAGATTATATTTGATGGAGAGCAGTCCAAAGAGACTCGGGAGATAGAAACGGCCTGTTACCTCTAAGCCCTCGACTTCAGCCATGACAGCTGAGGAAGGAAGACTTTCTTGGACCACAGAGGTGGAGGGAGGCAGGATTTCTCTGTAGCTTGCCTGCTTTACCTGCCCGGCTCCTGGTTCCAAGTGGCAGCTGAGCTGGGCAGAGTGGCTCTCTGGGTCCCGGGAAACAGCCTGGCTGATGGCCTGTATTCTGGGGACGCTGCCAACCTGGGCACCCGATATTCAGGCTGTGCCGTGACGAGGGCTCATGAGGGGAGAAGAAAGGCTCCAGTTTCTCCCAATCTCAGTGCAATTCAGATTCTCTGGCAGAGAGAATACATTCCTCGGAGGTGACAACCCTGGACCAAACTCTCCCTCCTGTCCCAAGTCACAAGGGCTCTTTGGTCTAAAGAGGGATCGTGACCATCCCATGACTGGAAAGAGAGTGATAAGAAGGGGGCTTAAGGCCACTCCCGGGTGACCCTGGGCACTTCCTGGCTCTCAAAGCCTTGCAATTACAGGCTATGGCCAGCAGGGCGGCCCCATTGCCACACACTGCTCCCTTGAGAAGGGTGCAGGCAAGGGTCTGGGCGACAGTTCTGTCCAGGACTGGAGGGAAGGAAAGTGTTGGGTGTGGAGTACATCGAAATCAGTGGGTCCACGGCTCGGCATTTAAGATCACTGGCTGCTCTTCCAGAGGACCCGAGTTCAATTCTTAACACCCACACAGAGGCTCAGAGCTGTAATTACAGTTTCAGGGAACTAGACTCCTATGTGGTATTCAGACATACATGCAGGCAAAACACTCACTTAAAAAAAAAAAAAAAAAAAAAAAGCCAAAGGCCTGGGAGTGGCGAGCGTTGTCTTAGTTTTGTGGGTCTTGAGAGCGGACACCTGTGAATTCCACCATAGCAGTTTCCTGGTGCAGGGCAAGTGCAGGTTCTGCGTGGACATGGTTCTCTTCTCAGAGAATTCAGCAGCTGCTCTGGGAGCCAAGGATGCTCACCTGGGCCATAGATCTGAGCAATGTGGAATCCTCATGGGGGCTCCTGGTTGGTCTCTGGCAGACCACCTCTCCCCAAGAAGCCACCGGGAGAGAAGAGGCGTGACTATAGTTTTTCTAAGACCTGTCCAGCCTGGCCAGCCCTGGGGCCTCAAAGAACCGACTCACCTCTTCTCCCGTCAGGTAGAAGGCCGAGAGCAGTCCTCCGATATACCGGATGTTCACCTCAAACAAGGATGCTTCTCCACTCTGCAAGAAGGCAGGGAGGGGACGGCAAGGACAGGGGTGAGCTCCCAGAGCTATCCAGGCTCTGGACACAGGCCACACTGCTCCCCTCAACACACACCTGTGTCCTGCTCTGGGGACTCCAGTAGACCAGGCCACAGCTCGGTTTTCATAGCAGAGGTCAAGAGGGGACAGCACCTGCCTGGCAGTTGCTACTGTGTGTTTAAGTGTTCCAAATAAACACCAGCTTTGGCTCCCTTCCCCAGCCTTGCTGGAGGCCATTGGAGCAGTTAGGCCTGGCTCTGCTCCAGGGGGTTCCGGACCTGTGCCGCACTGCAGGAGAAACTTAGCCCAAGAAGAGGCAAAGCCTTCTCTCCTTAGCAGGAATGAGGGAGGTCCTTCCCTGGGGTGACAGAGCAGGGCAGGGCTGAGCAGGAGGCTGTGGGCAGACGCCTGTGTGAGAGCGATCAGTCTCTGGGCCCACTCACACTGCCCTTCTCCACGACTGTGCGAAGCACACGCCAGGAACAGGGCCTAGCTAAATTCCCCACCTGAGCCCTGTGCATGGCTTTGTGACTTGAGATAGACCTCTCTTTTCCCCCGAGTTTCCTACCGCACAGAACGGGTCTATGACCACCTCCCAGGCAGGCCTTCTCACGGGTGGTGACCGAAAGCCGCGGCAGGGCCTCACACAGGTGGCTAGTGACGCCTCCTTTGCCCCAGGTGCTGATCTTGCCGGCCCTCTGCATCATATTTTTAATTTTTATTTGTAATACTTGGGATTGAATTGAGGGCCTAGGCAAATGCGTTATATCTCCAACCTTCTTTTTTCTTTTTTTTAAGGCAGGGTCTCACTAAATGACCCAGGCCCACCTCGAACTTGTGCTCTGGCTGCCTCAGCCTCCAGGCCTGGCTCAAGCTTTCATTATTGACAGCAGCCATCGATATCTGTTAATCTGGGGGGATTTTCCCACCAGTAAATGGTTCCTTTCCACCTCATATTGCCCCATGATGTCACCCCATTCTCTAGACGAAAAAGCTAAGGCTCAAAGAGGTGACCCCACCTTTCTTTTTTCTGCAAACACTCTGAGACTGTCCCGGCCTGTCTGAGTGTCCATCAGCTCCCTGGTCCCCTGGGCAGGCCCATCCTCTGCCTGGAGGAGTTGGAGGCTTCCCAGGGGGACCAGGTGGGTCCCTGGAGATGCCCCTCTGCCTCTGTCCCATCAACAGAAAAAAGGACTCTATACTCCCTCCCCTGGCCTCAGACACCAGAAGCTGCAAAGGTCCCAAGATGATTCTAGTAATCATAACAGTGATGAGGAGGCTCTGTATTTGTGTTGACTTTACGAGGCCATAAAATGCTCTCTCCAGCCCTCTGTCATGGTCTCCTTCCTGTCTCATAGTGAGGAGACCGAGGTTCAAGGCGGCAGAAAGCCTTTCCCAGCTCTCCAGTCCGGCTCTCAGGCCCCCCACGTCTCTTGCCTCCAACAAAGTCACTTCCCTTCCTACCTCTTGCTGAGCCACATGGCCAAGAGGAGCAATGTGGGGCGGGGGAGGGATGGCCCTGGCTGTCTCCCCTTGCACCAGAGGACACCAGCTGGGAGACATCCCCACTTCAAGCCTGGTCTCTGGTGAGGACACTCATGAGGGTATATACTGCAGCCGGGGCTCTAGACTGCTCTATTATAAAGCCCCAGACAAGAAGTGTGTTATCTGTGGAGCTCGAGGCTGTCCCTCATTTCCCCATGGGTACCAACTCACCACATCCTTCATCTCCCCATGGCCTCTGACTTACCACATTCAGGTGGAAGCTGTCTTGCACCCAGGCCTTGGCCTCTTGGAACTCCTCCTTCAGCTCCATGAGGTAGAGGGTGTCAAGAGAATCGATGATGGTTGCCCCACTGAGGCCGCCTGTAGGGCACAGAGAATTCCAAGTGTGACCCGGGGCCATTTTTATCCTTTTCATTCTTAGCTAGAAAAGTCACCCTTCCCCCAGGGTCCCCAAATGCTTGAAGAACTCCAAGGTACCAGCTAGGGGGACTTCAGTACCACCAGTGAGGGCAAGAATGGATCCATCATCCTGTCTCCTTGTGGGAGGAGAAATGGAGGCCATGCTGGGCCCTTCCCAGACCATGATCACTCCTTGGTCAGCAAGTCATTCAGTTCCAGGCAACACCCACAGTGATCTATGTGGCACACACAGCTTCTAACACACAGCCATTCCTGTGGCTCATCCACCCTATTTCTGCTTTATCTTGTGAAAAAAATACATGTGCTTACATATGCTTATGCAGGGAGACAGACGCTGCATGCCTGTGAACCCAGGGAGGATACAGGCAAACTCCAAACCTTGTAATACAGACTGGAATATAGCACAGGGACATCCACACACACACAGGTGAGGTAGATCTGTCTTTATGTGCTTGGAAGATACCCTGGGATCTCTCAAGTTAAGAAACAAACACAAACAAAAGACAGGCTGTGTGGGAGAACTATATAATAAGTTCTAAGGCCAGACATTGTCTACCAAATAAAAAGGCAGGTATGGGTTATCTTCTTTCACGTGGTTGGCCAGTGGGGTCCCATAGACTCCTAAATATTTTGGGCTATTGCTATTACTATTGCTTACCACCCAGAACCTTATGGTGAGATCCTATTGCTGAAGACGCCACATGCTTGAATCATAGAACATGGTGAAATCAAGCTGGTACTGACTTGGAAGCTTCATCCCTACCGGCTAGCTTTCATAATGCTGAAAGGTGCCATGCATGCTATCAGAGGAGAAAAGTAATTACAAATCTTTCCTAGTTCTGAACACTGTGAGCCACAGTGGCAACTGGCTTGGCAAGATACGCCCACTGGCACAATAGTGGCACTAACGTTTCGGGAGTAACCAATCACTTTCTGATTGGATTTGAATCCTGTACCACAAGACTACACTCATGCCTAGTGCTAGTCACTGGGCCAAAAGCCCGTGACTGGATAGGCCATAAGCCCTAGGGAGAACCTAGTACGATTACTTTGCTAAATGGATATAATATCCAACAACTGCCTCCTAAGTACTTTTCTTTGTATCCATAGACTAGCACATCTCTGAAGCCTCAGAGAAGCTTATCTATCTGTCTGTCTGTCTGTCTGTCTATCTATCTACCTACCTATCATTATCTATCTATTGTCTATCTATCTATCTATCTATCTATCTATCTATCTATCTATCTATCTATCTACCATCTACCATCTACCATCTATTATCTATCTATCTATCTATCTATCTATCTATCTATCTATCTATCTATCTATCTATCTATCTATCGCAGGAGATGGTGATTAAGACAGAGAGCCACAACTGGCCAACCCGCAGAGAATAAGAGACTATGGAGTATTCAGCTCTAAATGGGACATCTATACCCCTCACCCAAAGGCTCAGGGATCATCTGGGAAGAAGGGGTAGAAAGACTATGAGAGCCAGAGAGAGCAGATGTCTGCAGAACAACAGTATTTGCCAGACATATGACAATGGCCCTGCAGACATGAACCCACAGTGTCTGGGAGAGCATGCATGAGGACTGCACAAGATCAAGGCCGAGGAATCCCAGCATGAAGTCCCACCCCTAGCTGAGTTGCTATTGGCAACTGATGGCTGCTGGTGGAGAAGAGTCAGTTCTCTTCAGGGATGACGTCCCTAAGAGGCTACCTGTTGTTTAAATGAGAAATGTCCCCCCACGGGCTCATTTGTTTGAGCACCTGGTCCCATGTTGGTGGAGCTGTTTATGGAGGGAGGTGTGGGACCTTTAGAAGGTACAGACAGCCTTGGCCTTGCTGGAGGAAGTACATCATTAGGGGCGGGCTTTGAGGGTTTACAGCCTTGTTCTACCTTCCTGTTCTCACTCTCTGCTTCCTGTGTGCAGCTGAGATGTGATCCTCACCTTCCTGTTTTGGCCACTTGCTACCATGCCTCCTAGGCCGTTATGGATTCTCTCTATGGAAACATAACCTCAAGTAAACTCTTCCACATGTTACTTTTGGTTGTGTTGTGTTATCACAGAAAAGCAACCCACACACTACACGTGATCCAGGAGACGGCCCTGCCCCCAGGTAATACAGACAGTGCTAAGTGGACTCGGGGTTTTTGAAAGAGTAATGACGCTGGGAAGGAGAGTGGTGGAGAAGACAGGGGAGGAACCGGAGGAGAGGGAGGGGAGTGGGTTTAATCAAACATCATAGGCACGAATGAATTTCTCAAACAATAATAAAAAAGATGAAAAAGTGAAAACAGAACAGGTGGCGGAGATGGCTGGGTGCGTGAAGTGGTGGCCATCCTGTCATCCCAGCGCTGGTAAAGCAGGAACGGGCTGATCCCTGGAGCCCTGTGGCCCCCAGCCTAGCCTCCGCGGTGAGTCCCAGGCCTGTGAGACCCTGTCTCATAAAATCTAAGACAGCACTTGAAGAGTGACAGTTGAGGCTGTCCTCTGGGCTCTACATCCATGCACACATGTGAGCACGCACCCTCTCTCTCACACAGAGCCAACAAAAGTAAGCAAAACTCCAAAAGCAGCCTGGCAGACCCACTTTATTGCAAAGCGAAAAGGGGGCTCCAAGCCGGAGACTACGGGGCTCAGAGCTTGTCTTTGGGTACTGGAGCAGAAATGTTGTTTATTTCTTCTGGGTTATTTTTTGTTAGAGATTTATTTCTGTTAAAAAGAAAAATGGGGCCGGGCGGTGGTGGCGCACGCCTTTAATCCCAGCACTCGGGAGGCAGAGCCAGGCGGATCTCTGTGAGTTCGAGGCCAGCCTGGTCTCCAAAGCGAGTTCCAGGAAAGGCGCAAAGCTACACAGAGAAACCCTGTCTCGAAAAATCAAAAAAAAAAAAAAAAAAAAGAAAAAAGAAAAATGGGCAAGGCCCTGGGTTCGATCCTCAGCTCCAAAAAAAAAAAAAAAAAAAAAAAAAGAAAAGAAAAAGAAAAAAAAGGAAGGAAAAATGGGAAACAGTTTAGATAAAGAAGCCAGACAAGGTACAACCCAAAAGTCCTCCTGTTCTCTCTTATTCTAGGGTAGGGGGTTCACAAAGAGCTGTCACTGCTTGATCTGCACCCCGACACTGGTCTCTGGGAGTAAACACTGAGGTAACTTGTCCCCCCATCCTCACTGTTGAGGGAGGCAGGAGAGGACTGGGGGAAGTCTCAGCCAGTTGGGCACTGTCAGATCCCAGAATGGAGGAGAGGAGTGAGCTTGGTGCCATCTGGAGAGCTTCCTGGAGGAGGAGGGGGCTGACTTTCATCAATATCTTACAGCTAGAGTCACAGACAGCAGCAACGTCTTTTAGGGCCCAGAGCACTTTCACCCCTAAATTCCTCTAGGGACAATGGTACCCAGACTCTTCCTTGGATGTTCCAATTTGCAGATGCTCAGGTCCCATCTATAAATGGCATTGATTTTGATATGACCTAGGCAATTCTCTTGTGTATTCTATTTCATCTCAGATGAGTTACGATAGTCTCAGGTCAGTCCTGTCACAGTATATTATTAGGGGATAGAGATAAGAAGAAGATCATGTACCGGGCAGTGGTGGTGCACGCCTGTAATCCCAGCACTTGGGAGGCATAGCTAGGCAGATCTCTGTGAGTTCAAGGCCAGTGTGGGCTACAGAGCAAGATCCAGGACAGGCGCAAAGCTACACAGAGAAACCCTGTCTTGAAAAACAAAATATAATAAAATAATAATAATAATAATAATAATAATAATAATAATAATAATCATATAATAATAATAATAATATCATGCTTGGTATACACTTTCTCCCCCAAATATTTTCCATTTGTGTTTGGCTGAATCCACTCATGTGAAAGCAAGGGATGCAGAGAGCCCACAGCATGGCCCTCAGAAGAATGGCTGTCTCCACTGTGCCCCTGCAGAAGCTCAGGGGGTCAGGAGTCACAGGCTCTGCCCTCCCGAGTCTGAACCCGCTGAGTCTGGCCTGGCTCCGTGCCTCCACATTCAGGGTTCCTCCGCCTGCGCGTCCCTAACTGCTCACTTGTGTGAGTGCACATGGAGACTCCTGAACTGAATCATGGGTGGGCATGGTGTGTGTGATAAAGGGCACAGCCCGAAAAAGAACCAGAGAGAGGGAGGGCAAGGGAGAAGGGGGCAAAGACAGGGCCAGAAGTTAAGGACATATCACCAGAAGGGAGTGCTGGCCACAGAGGCGGGGGGGGGGGGGGGGGGGGGGGGGGGGGGATGGTCACATGTCTGGGTGCTTAGACTAGGGCTGATGTGAACTTGTGGAGTGCCAGCCCCTCCCACAGCCACAAGGCCAGGCCGGCATTCCTATCGGCCTCCCGGCCTCCCGTCTAGGTGCCTCCTCTCTGGGGCCAGCAAGGCTCCAGTGAAGACTTTACCCTCTGGAGACGTTTATGCTCCTTGGGTTGCTGGTCTGGAGCCCAGGCCCGGGTGACCTGAGGTCCTGTCTAATGGATCCCACGCAGGTTGCAAAGCGGGTGTTTTAAGGGCCTGGAGCAACTCTGAGGTCCTGCTGGGTCACCCTTTCATCTCCCAGATGAGGCCCCATCAAGGACTAAGCCAGCTCAGGGGAGATGAGCTTCTGCCCCCAACTCTCAACTCTGGGCAAAGGGTCCTAAGTGCTCACTGTCTGGCAGTCAGCTGTAAGCCAGGGCCAGGAGGAAGCTGAGTCCCTCCCTCCAGGGCACAGCAGAGTCTCTCATTTCAAAATCCTGCCCTGGGTCACTTGTCTTCACCTCAATAGCCCTCTGTCTCTTGGGGCCCAGCAGGGAGAGCAATCAGGGCTCCTTATGACCAGCTGTCCCCATGACACCTCAAGATGTCTGATGCGGATGGCTGAGAAACTGGCTGAGTTTGTTAGTGAGGGCCTGCTCTGGCTTAAGGCTCTGGCCTCT